GTCAAATCAATTAATAATAATAAGAAAATCGTTAGCGTTCTACTGCATTAAAATTTGATATACTTTAATGCGGCAAGTTATACTTTGTCGAAATTTGCAGTAAAATTGAAAATATTTCTTATATATTTAGATTCTGTAGCGATATTGTTATTATAGCAATACTACTTCAATTAATACAAAATTGTTACTTTTCAACTTTCGCTAAAATTTACAGTTTCTTTTGATAAGGCTTGTTTGCATCCGAAAATGATAAAGGAATGATAAAGTGATTATCTTGTAAATAAAAGTTATTTTAAAATAAAATAAGCTTTTTATTTTAAAAATAAGCTTTTTATTGTAAAATAAGCTTAAATCATATTGCAATTTTTAAAAGTATATTAATTAGAAAATTCGCAAATTTATTATATAAAATTGCCAAATTTGCGAAAAAAAAATATTAAAACCTAAAAAATTATTGAAATAATCATAGAAGCCAGGATTACATTAATTATATATACAAATTATACAAATTTTGTGTTATTCCAAATTTTATAAAAATAGGCCTTTTTACAAATTTGGATTTTGCCAAACTTATTAAACTTATTCAAACACTAAACAAATGAGCAGAAAAAGGTCAGTCTCTAGTATACTTAACGATCTTGATGATGAAGAATCACCTTCAAATCAGCCATCTTCTACTCATAGAAATAGATCAATTTCTAGTATAATAAACGAAGAAATAGTATCTTCTGCTAGATCAACAAGTAATAAAAGAAAACTAGTAGTTTGTAATTGTCCTGATTGTGATGGCGACTTGGTGGATTCTCGCACAAAAGAAATTCACAATTCCAGACATCAAGAATACCAAGATTCGCAAGGTACAATTTCGTCTCAAGTTCGTCAACTTGAAATAGGTGAAACATCAACACCCGCTTCAGCTGGACAAATGATTGATGAATCTATTAGACAAGAATCTGAAGAATCAGATAACAGTAATCAAGATGATGTTGATGATAAATATCAAGATGTCGAATTTAACTTCTTACCTTGACAATGTGCAAGAAAGTATATAAATCGTCTGGAAATTTCAGAAGATCCAGAAGATTCATCATCATCCAAATATACTACAGAGAAAGATATCTACAGTAATACATTGTCTATAGGCAGTGAATCAGATAATGATCCAATTTCTGGAATTTCTGAAATTTTTGAAGACTATTCACCACCTAGTTATGAACCATTTCAAAACCCACCATATTTAGAATCGAATTATGATCGATTTTTATGGATGTTACTTTGGATAATGAACTTTCGAACAAGATTCAATATCGCAGAGACAGCTACTGAGACTCTAATAAAATTTATGAAATTGGCCCTGTGCGAATTCAGTAGTGATGATTTTAATGATTTTTCAGATTCGCTTTACTTAACAAGAAAGAAGCTTAGATTAAACGACCAATTTCATAGTTTTGTACCTTGTCCGAAATGTCACAAATTGTATAAAAAAAAGGAAGTGGTAGATTTCAAACAAGAGGACAATCCTGCTATAATGAAATGTCAACACATAGAATTTCCCAATTCTTCAGTTCATAGATCACGTCTTTGCAATATGGCATTGTCTGAAAAAATTAGCGTATTAACAAATCGAACAATAATACAACCTAATTTAATGTATCTGTTTACTGGAATTAATCAACAACTTGCCACTATGTTTTGTCAGCCTGGGTTTGAAAATTCTCTCTGACATTGGGCTAATCGGTCGAATTTTGATAATATTTTGACTGATATATATGATGGGCAAGTGTGGAAGAATTTTAAAGAATCGGACAATGAAGATTTGCCAAATTTTTTCAGAAGCGAAGTGGCCAATTCTCATCTTGGCTTGATGCTGAATCTTGATTGGTTTCAGCTATATGATAGTACCATTTATAGTATCGGTGTCATATATGCCGCTATATGCAATTTGCCACACGATATCCGATTCAGATGTGAAAATTTATTGACTCTCGGCATTTTACCTGGGCCAAAGGAGGTCAGCCTACATAAAGTGAACCACTATTTAGCACTAATAGTTAACGAATTGGAAACACTCTGGGCTGGATTAACACTAAATCGTACTTATGAATGCGAAAATGGAAAGAGAGTTCGTGGCGCTTTAATCTTAGTATCATGTGATATTTCCACTGCAAAAAAATTTGCGGTCATGTTTCTGCCTTAGTTTCATGTCACAGGTATGAGAAAAAAGCAAATTATGAAAATAGACAGCATAATTTTGCCGGAATGGATGATGTAAGGTATTCTGCTTGAGATTCGAATGAGTACTAACAAAATGCATTAGGTTGGCAAAGATGCAACTCAGACGCTGCTAGAAAGCGCTTCGTCAAAGAAACTGGCGTTAGATGATCCGAATTGTTGCATCTATCATATTTCAACCCTATTAGATTTATTACAGTCGATCTAATGTATTGCTTATTTCTGGGCATTGCAAAGTGGATAGTAAAACGAATTTGGATTGATGGGGGTATTTTGACACCAAATTCTTTGAACAAAATTCAGAAAAAAATGGACGAGTTTCAGATACCATCCGATTTAGGTCGAATTCCAGGAAAAATTCATAGTGGAGAGGAATTCACCAATTTTACGGCCGATCAGTGGCAAATATTCTTTACAATTTATTTAACTGTATTACTTTGGGAACACCTTTCAGATGTAGATAGAAGAATCCTGAATTATTTTGTCAGGATTTGTTTGATTTTGGTAAATCAGATTCTAGAATCTAATTTGGCGGATGAAGCCCATAGAAGTCTTATCGAAATAGTCAAATTAATTGAGAATCACCACGGCAGAGATAAAATCACACCGAATCTTCATCTTTCTCTACATTTGTGTGATTGCTCATCTGATTATAGACCATTATATGTGTTCTGGTGTTTCTCTTTCTAACATATGAACGGTATATTAGGTAAATATCCATTAACGATTTTTTAACGATTTTAACAATTTCAATATTAGCTTATAATTTATTGATTTCGCACTTTTAGGTTCGTTACCAAACAGCAACAGGAAAATTGAGTCTGAACTTATGCGTCGATTAATGTTTGATAAACAAATCGAAAATATCATAAGTTCAGGTATCGAAGTAAAAGGTCTCGAATTGCTAAACAGTCAGCGTACTATCGGATCCCTTTCAGTTACTGATAAATTTTTGTCAGATGGGATACATCGATTTTGGCTGAATTCACAAAATATTAAAGATTCACAGATTTCTGGTAAAGAAAACTTCCCAGGTGAATTTCTCAAGCCGGTATCTCATAATATACTACTTTCAAGTGAAATGTTAAATTTAATGGTTGAATATTACAATGCGACTTACGAATCATTTGGATTTCGGAGGCCTCTTGTAGAAGGTTTAGATAACGATATAATAATTAGGGTCAAAATTAACCAATTCGGAAGGTGTCAGATTGGTTCAGAAGTCTTTGGATCATCATTATCGTTAAGACATGTAAAAAGTTCGTACGTCTTAGTGAAATTTATTACGGATGATGAAGATGTCGACACCTACCAAGGTCAAATTCAGTATTATTTTACTCACGTAGTAGACTTTCTGGATGGTCCCGTCAAACATTTTCTAGCATACGTTCGTTGGTATAAATACGCAAATTCAACTAATATTCGATACTATTTCAGCAGTGATGAAATTTGTAATATTGAGTTGTGGAATACCGAATTTTATCCAATAAGTCGTGATTGTATAATACCTGTGCATCATATTTTAGGTAAATTTGTACCAGTAAGTTACAAAATCTCAAACCGGTAAAATGCAAAAGAGTATTTAGCCGTAAATCCAATTAGTAGAAAATACCAATTATAAACTTATAAGTTTTAGACATAAATTTATAATAAATTGAGTAATTGACTATAAATTTGGTGTTGATTTTTTCCGAATTTCTGAATTTTAATGACAAATCATGTTTTTCAAAAGTTAATTTTGATGACTTTTTTTGTATCAATCAGCCGTCAATCAAAGATAATGATTTTTTGCTGAATTTTTATTGAATTTTTATTGAATAAATTTTATTGAATTGTCAATTTTCCATAAATCAGAAGTACATATTTGAATATTGGGTAAATTTTAGATTGATTTGTCATTTTGTCCGATTTTTTTTTGATTTCAACCAGCATCAATCAGCCGTCAATCAAATATGATGATTTTTTGCCAAATTTTTATTGGATTTTTATTGAATTTTTATTGAATTGTCAATTTTCCATAAATCAAAAGTACATATTTGAATATTGGTAAATTTTAAGTTGATTTGTCATTTTGTCCAATTTTTTTTTTTGATTTCAACCAGTATCAATCAGCCGTTAACCAAATATGATGATTTTTTGCTGGATTTTTATTAAATTGTCTGATTGGCATCAATCAGATATGCCGATTTGTAATGTCAGTCGATTTTGGTCTGATTTTTTGCTGATTTTCCATATGTCCAATTTTTTTGATTTCGACCAGTGTTTATAATTATATACTTTACTAAAAATGGCTATTTTTTTAAAATACTTTTATAATATTCCTATTATACTTTTGTAATACTGACATTATTTTGTAATGGTTGAAATTGTTTTTATGTATTTCACAATTAATTACAAAGAATATATCACAAGGGCTAATAAAAGTATTACAAATCATAATTTCAAAACAATTTAAACATTATGTTGCAATGGTATTTGCAATGGATTTATTATTAATAATATAATTATAAATTGAAATTATTATGAAATTGTATTGCAATATTTATAATATTAATATGAAATTGTATTGCAATGGTTTATATATCTTAATATAAAATTGTATTGAGGGAGTAGCAATGGCTCTCCCCCTATAGGCATTAATTGGCCTCTACCTGTTTACAGAGGAGGGGCTTTTCGTAAAGCATTAANTTGAGGGAGTAGCAATGGCTCTCCCCCTATAGGCATTAATTGGCCTCTACCTGTTTACAGAGGAGGGGCTTTTCGTAAAGCATTAAAATCAATAGATATATATATATGTGTATATATTAGTATATATATACATCTAAAAAAAAATATACATATAAAATTTTTTTTGGAGGAAACCTCCTATTTATATTAATTTAAGTATTACATGTGTCACGTGATATCAAATTGCGCCTGCTGCGGTATAGCGAAAAAAAAATTAAGCTTTTTTTAGTAAAAGCTTAATTTTTTTCTCCCACGGCCTTTACTTTTTTTCGCTTCCCCTCAATTTTACCCTTTTCCCTCTTGTCCCTTCTTCCCCTTTCTTTTGCCCTTTCATTTCTATCCTTTCCCTTCCTTTTCTCCTTCTGCTTCTTTACTGCCAGAATCTTTCAAAAAATAACGGAATGGTGAATTTCGAAGCGTTCTTCAAAACTTCGCTTCGAAACTTTTAAACTTTTTTTTTAAATTTTTAGGAAACGTTTCTAACGCTTCCTATATTTATTTTTTTAGACTTTTGGCTAGCTTTCGACTTCAGAATTTGGAAATGGTAAGTTTTGAAGCGTTCGCTTCAAAACTTTATTAAAATTATTTTTTTTTAATTTTTTTAGAAAACGTAACTAACATTTCCTATATATTTTTTTTTGTAGGACTTTCGGTGAGTTCGACCTTGAATTTAAAAATGGTAAGTTTCAAAGAATTTTCTCTTCAAAACTTTTAAATTTTATTTTTTATTCTTTTTATTAGGAAACGTTAGCTAACGTTACCTTTAATTTTTTTTTTTGTAGATCAGAGAGTTGAATACTACGGAAGCTTTGAAATGGTGAGTTTTGTAGTGTTACAAAACTTGGATTTATTTTTTAATTTTTTTTATTAGGAAATGTTTGCTAACGCTTTCTTTTCTTTTTTGTAGGTTCGGAATATCTGTTTCGCCCTCCTTCATTTAAAAGTCTCACCTCAAGTACAAGTTCAAGACTAGTATGTATCAGCCCGATTGCTCGTACCTTGTTGCTGAAGTAAATTTACATGAGAGCAAGATTGAACTTCAACCAGAAAAAAATATCAGGATATGGACCAGTCGATTTCGCAATTGATTTACTCCAAACTGCAAAAACTGTCAGTGTGACAGAGATATGGAGTAAGGTAAGTTTCATTTTATTACGAAACTTATAATAAAGAAAATTTTTTATACTAGGAAACGTTCACTAACATTTCCTTTCTTTTTATAGGGTCCGTTTCTGGGAATTTGGAAATCAGAAAATGAAGAGTTTCGTACGTTTCATTATGAAGTATCCTGTTGTTTTTTTTTTTAATTAGAAAATGTTACTAACATTTCCTTTTTTATTTCTTTTAGCGAAACGGTTTGCTTTCTTTTTTAGATTGCCATGTCCTGGACGCGTAGGATTTCAGTAGAGGTTTACAAAAAACAAAAATTTTTTTTTCTTTCTTTTAGCGAAATGTACTAACGTCTCATTTTCCTTTTTTTAGACGGCTTATTCTTGGTTATGGACGCAATTTCAGTAAGTTTTTTTTAAAAATGCTTATTTTAACACAACGTTAAAAATAAGCCAATTACTAACGTTTTGTTTTTGCATTCTGTAGGTGGCTCTTCGAGTTTTATTTTCTAGATGACTATTTCTTTAGATCTTCGGGTACTTGGCGCGTAGTATTTGCCAGATTTTCGATTTTTTACCGACAAATAAGAAATTTACTTTAAAAGCTCAACCAGGTCTACAGACGCGTGGGACGCATGAGTTTTGGTATTCATTTTTTTCTTTCATTTATTTATTTATTTTAACGGACTGTAACTAATAGTTCATTTTTTTCTTTTTTTTTAGGTTGTTAGCTCTTCGGGTTTCTTTAGATATCGATATCTTTGGATATCTTTGGACGTGTAAGTTTTATTTGGATTTCTTAATTTACTCATTTCAACAAAAGTTCTAACAGCTCATTTTTTTTTGCTTTTTTATATATTTTTTTTTTGTTATAATTTTTTTTTGTTTTGTAGGAATCTGGCGTCTAATCTTGGATTAATTATGGATTCTGGTGAGTATTCAAAAAATTTGGAAAATAACAAAAAATAAGTTTTTTGACAACTTTTATTTTTTTGTAGTTCCAGGTTCCCAAGTACATTTTGAAAGAAAATTTCAAACTACTATTGGATGAATGATGGTAAGTTTCGAAGTGAAGTTTAACTTCGAAATCTGTAACTTTTTTAATCAAAGAAACAGTTTACTGATTATTTCTTTAATTATTTGTAGGTTTCATTCCTTGGAGTGGTGGATATGGTCATTAAAAGGCGAGTTTCGAAGTTACGAATTCTACTTTGAAACTTGTTTTTTATATAAGAAATGGTCTATTAGCTATAATATTTTTATTACACTAAATATATAATATAAATAATGTAACAATTGCATAATTAATTAAAAAAACTATTACAAATCCATTATAAAATTATATAAATGTATTTTGAAATATTACAATTGTATTATAAATTCATTAAAAAAGAATTGTAAAACTATTACAAACTAATTACAAAACTATTATATTTTTTTGACATTATTTTGACATGAAATTATAAGCCTAGATAACATGGTTTTAATGGTTTACACAATGCATTAAAACCATATAAAAATAGTATTATAGCTATGTCAAAAATATATCAAAAAAATAGCTATTTTTAGCAAAGTAGAGTTAAAAGTTTTTTCAGAACTTTATATTTCAAGAATATTAGCCTTTTAATAGTTAAAGAAGATGTCATAATCACAAATCTTTGAAAAAAATTTCAGTAATTTTACTAGTAATTTTATTAATTAATTTATTATATTATAAAATTTTTATTTAATTGTAATCTGTTATTATATTAAATAATATTCATTATAAAATTTAATAAAATAAATAAAATAAAATTTAGAATTTAGAAAAAAAACTTATTTTATTATTATTAATAATAATTTTTAAAAATTATATTTTACATCATAATATTCAATACTACAGCTTATAACAGGGCGGACATGCTTATTATTATCTGATGATCATTAATTAATTTAGTAATATACCTGCTGATCATTTAATTCTTAATATTAACTTAAACTACTTACAAAACTTAATCAATAATACTTGGATTTGTTTAAAAAAAATTAAATATAAAAGTTAAAATAAGATAAATTTATAAATAAAATTTGAAGATACATTAATATCTGAAATTTTTAATTAGAGCAAATTAATAATCGCACTAAAAATTGATGGCAGAAAATAAATATATATGGCAAAAGGTTAAAACTTTGTATAGATATTCTTTACATTATATAGGACTCCGCTTACTTATAATAAAGATCATTGTAGAAAATTGGCTCTTTACTATTAGTTTTTACCTTACTTTTTTCTTAAGTTCTATTGGTTAATTAGCTAAAAAGGAAAAAAATCATAATAATGTAATATAAAATTTTCTTTTATAGTAGGATCTGCAAAGAATTTTATATATGATTTTTACCTTAGGCCTGAAATGACCTATCTTATAAGTAAGCGAGGTCCTCATTATATATAATCTATGAAAAAAATAATACAATACTAGCAGCAGGGGGCGTGGGCAGACCAAGTAATCTTAACCTGGGACCGCAGGAAAGAAAGTTATTAAAATTCGTATTCCAGAATCCCCCTGCTGCTAAAAATGAATGCCTATTAATTTCACCATTCTAGGGCTCTCAAAATATAGTTCTAGTATATCAATAAAATTTGTATTCTTAAAATGTTTTCTAGTCTCCTTTTTCTTAATAAAATTACTAATTTGTTTTCTTGCCTTTGCGCGCCTTCCTGATTATAATCTTGATATAATAAAAATGTACACCTAGTAGTAAGTATGTGTAGACCAAGTTATTTTCACCTGAGAACTTCAAGAATGATAGTTGACAAATAATGTACTCCAGCCCTTCTTACTTATCTAAATCATAAATTTGTTTTCTTACCTTTGCGCGCCTTCCTGATTATAATTCTGACATAATAAAAATTTACACCTATGGTATGAAAAAAAAATTCAGATATAGATAGAAAGTATTACTATGAGTGTAAAAAAAAAATGGGTATGGATAGGAAGTATTACTATAGGTGTAAAAAAGTCAGATATAAATGCGCGTTTGATATAGGAGAATAAGTATGCTACCTTATTTAATGTATGCTATTATATGAGGCAAATAGGATTACCTCTAGACAAAATAATATGATATAAATGCATATACATGTATATATTGACTTTCAGGATCTCCAACACTAGCCCGTCACTAGCTTATTACTAGTCCGTTACTATTCCATTACTAGCCCGACACTAACCTGTCATTAACCCTGCTCTCCTGCTTCTTCAGTTTTGTTCACTAACAGCTCTAGAAGCAATTCATCAATTTTCATCTGAATTAAATCATCGGCATTAGCTTTATCCCGAAGCCTATTAAAATATTGGATTACATAATAGGTATCAGAATGCTTTCTACAAAGGCCAGGTTCAGAGCTAGTCGGCTTGCCACAAACCTTACAGGAGATGCGGGTTTAGCTTTCCAATGTTCAAAACACCTTTCAGGCTGACGACAAGTCCGCCCACAGACGTATCCAGTCATGAGTAAATAATTGCAATAATATTCACCTATCATGGTAATAAGAAATAAATATTTTATTTTAAACAAAAGTTTTTGCTATATTAATACAAACATTCAAAATGGTTAACTATAAAGATATCAAATTGGCATTAGTTGAGATAATCAAAGTAACATATAGCCAAGGCACGAAAAAATATGATAAAATGGGATTGTCATATGTGGGCTATTTGAAAACAATGCAACGTAAAAGAGATCCAGATGATCATTGCAGATATATAGCAAAGCAGCGATCTCCAAATGAGGAAGTTTATAATGAAAGAATGGCGGATTTCAAAGACTGGTATAATAAAGAAGTGTATCAGAGTCTTGAAAAGTTATACAAATTATATATCTTATTAGCGAACTAAGAAGAGGTTGTGTAAAAAAGATCTATAGAAAAAGTAAATGAAATGCTTAAACTTCATGACTTAGAAATCTAATTCGCAAGCACTCATCGAGGTGGTAATTGTACATCCTTTACGATTTGAAGCTTCTTTCTTACAAAGGATCTTTTTGGGCCATTGCCCTCATCATTTATTAGCCAGTACAAGACCAGCTGATTTTTTTGCACTAGAGATTCACGAATATGATAAATTTGGGGAGACCAATTACAATCAGTTGCACATCGTCTCCCACCTTTTAATTCACCAGGATTAAGCAAATATCTTACTAAGACATCATGGGATAATCTAGGCTCATCAAACCCAATAGGTCCTTCTCGTGGCTTGGAAGCTTTAGAAAGATATGTTCTTTTTTTCGAGCTTCAGCAGGAGAAATACCCAAAAGTCAAGTTACAGAATTGTCAAGCTCTACAAGAAAAATTGGAAGGTTTTTTACCCAAGCTCGACAGCGCTCAGTAGGAGGTAATCTCATTTCAACACTATCTTGAATAAAGAATGCCCATTCTTAAAGTGTACGATTAAATCTCTCAACAATACCTATAGATTCTTTAGAATTAGCTAGTTGAATTTGGATACCATGTTCGTTCATTAGTATGATAACATTACTTTGAAATTCTACGCCCCCATCTACCATTAAAACTTTAACTTTAGACCAGATAATTGGGCATATTCGGGAGTTAAAAAGTTTCACAAATCCTTTAGCCATACTAGCAGAATCACGTCTAGTTAAAGGATAAGTCCATTTAGTACGGGTAGCAATATCTACACAATTAAGTGCAAATTTATAAGTTTTATTTTCAATTCGATCATAAGGCATATAGCATAAATCAGCTTGAATAACTTCCATAGGTACAGTAATATTATTAAAAGACGCTTATGGAATATACTTAGGCTGAGGCTTATGAATCTGATACAAAGCCTGTTTGTTAAGCCAATTTTTTATTATGGCCAAAGTAAACACATATCTAGCTCTTTTACAAGCAGTTTTGATTTTTCCAGCAGTCCGATAATATTTCTCAGGTCTGTAATAAAGTTTTTGGAAAGAAAGATTCCGATCTAAGTCTTGCACTTTTTGAGGATCTATATAAATAACCGGTCTTTCGGCTTGGCGCTCTCCCATTTCCAATTTTTATAATTACGAAAAAAAGCTGGTATCTATTAAGTCAGATTCTACTCATTAGCTGAGGCACTTTTTTCTTTGTGCTTCTGCCTTACCATTATCTCTTTTTGCAGGTTTAGGGGAGTGACAAACCTTAGGCGGATTGCAAGGAGATCATTTTTCGGCCTAGTGAGATCAAATACAATAAATTCACCTCTTCGAAGGTAGCTATTAATAACCATAGATGCATTTTTCACATCAACATGTCGAAAAGTAAAAAATCAGGCATCAATCAGTCACCAATCGGTCACCAATCAGGTACCTGATTGGTAACCGATTAGTAACTGATTGGCATTTTCGCCAAATATCGTCACCAATCAGGCAGTTTGCTAACTTTTGATCCAGTGATCAGAAAAGAATGAAATATAGCTCATTGGAATCGCCTCAACAAGACGAATCTAATGGTAGTAAAATCGCATCTCTAGGATTAATAGTTAATAAAAAATTAAATAAAATATAAATGATACATTTTTATTTTTTATATTTTACTTAATTTCTCATCAAGTATTAATCCTAGAAATGAGATTTTACTACCATTAGATTCGTTATGTTGAGACGATTCCAATGAGCTATATCTCATCCTTTTCTGATCACTGGATCAAAAGTTAGCAAACTGTCTGATTGGTGACGATATTTGGCGAAAATGCCAATCAGGCACCAATTGGTGCCTGATTTTTCACTTTTCGACCTGTGCAAGGGTGCCCCATTATTTATTTCATTTATCGTATGTATATTTGCCATATGAATTTATTTGAAGGCAAAGTTTTTTATGATTTTTTTTTCCTGATGGCTATCAGCGAAATTATTATTCATATGTATATTTTTTTCAAATATGGAAAAAGGGAGTTCAGAATCAAACCAATATCAAACTAATAAAAGACCAATAATAAACTAATTTAAAACAAATATGATATTTAAAGTATATATATCCTAAACCTATTTTTTATTTGAATCATGATTATAGTACGCTATATTGTAAAGAAAGCAAACTACATATATGTAACAAACCAATGCCAGACTAATGCCAGACTAATGTCAGACCAATATCAAATAAATTTTCTACAAGTTTTTTATTAGTATTATACAGATTTATTACTAGCAAACTATGAGCAAAAAACAAACAACCCATACTCGTAAATTTCTTAGATCAGATGCCTGACGCTTGTCATCTGAAGCTATTGAAGAAATTAGAAATGCTCAGAATAATATTCCAGATGCTCGGCATATTATGTGTAAAAAGCATCGTATAGGATCAACAACATATCAAAAAATAATTGATAATAAGAGGCCTCCTAAACCTACCGAGGAATGGTGCAGAATCATAGAATCTGTCAGCATCTCTGACCAGATTTCAGAAAATAATCAGGAATCTTTACATAATACTTCCTCCTCTACTATCATACAAGAAGATGGGATCACTCATATGGAATATCCTATGGATAATGAGAATGATGCAAATTCTAATAGTCTGAATACAGTAACTAATGGGCGAAAAGATAAAGTTAGTCAGAAAAAAAAGGCTAGTATAAAGCCAAAAGATGAATTTTCTTCTGCAGATAAAGTAGCCAATTCTTTTAAAGATGATACATCTAGACGGGAATTTGATCTTAATAAATTAGTAAATATTACTAGAGAAGCTGTCATGCATAAGATCTATTCTCAATAAGTCGTAAGCATTTTTCTGCAAGAATATTACCTGCATTTAATGCCATGTCAAGCCATCTCTCAGTTTTTAATAGTTGCTCTTCAAGCTTTACGCACTTTTTTTTAAGTCCTCTTCACTATTTGGGCTAGAGGAGTTGGTAGATGTTTGGTCCTGATCTTCTTTTGACGGATCTTTGACTACCGGGGCCTTGCTAAAGGTTGGGATAATATATGCCTTTCCATGTAACTTTATGCGAAACTGGTTTTTATTTGGATCGGGAATGCCTTGAACCTTTCGAATGTTTGACATACCAAAAAATAGCATTGGTTCTGTTTCACCATTATCAATATGAACAAAATTTCCAATAACTGTGACCGTCTTATCTTTTTTATCATTCAAAGTAACTGGCACATCTGTATATCATCCTAATGAATCGGTGATATATTTGGAATTGCCCTTTATAGCAAAATTAGATGGTTTATCAGCCTTCCATCCAAGCGCCTTGATTGCTGGATCATTTATACTACTGAACTCACTGGCGGTATCTAAAAAAAGATTTAGAAATAATTAAGTCATTTATATTAGCATTCAGATATTGTAAAGATGACAACTACTCATCTGATTCTTTCGATTCCTCCTCCTGAGCCTTTCGAGACAAGCACATTTTTCGTATCGGTGGTGAGAGCTTAGACAATAGCTGATTGTACGTTTCAGGTTGGCTAGATTCTAGGGGTGAGATTGCATTAGTATCACTGGCCAACTTATCATTTACCTGTTTTTTTTTTCCAGTGCATAATACCACCCATTTTCTACTTTGTTATAACCATCTTCTTCATTATCTGAATCTGAAGGCATATATTGGGGCTGTGTAGATGGAAGTTGAGGATAGTAACATTGAGTAAAATTGGATTTAGCTACAGGATTTAACCTTGGGCAATCGTTCTTCTTATGCCCTTTCTGTCTGCAATTACTGCAATAAAAAGGCTTTTGAGATTGATCATTAAGTGATCTCCTAGCAAACTTAAATGTCATCTGACCAATTTCATCTATTTTTGACTCTAATCTATCGATTCTAGATGATTGCAACTTTTCTGGCTTTTGCGGTTTAGGAGGTGGCTCATAAGCTTTTGTGACTACTCTCATTATTTCTTCCCTAGTAAGTGTATCAGGGATAGGATTAGCGCTTTCATATGTATCAAGAAGCTGTTCCATATTTTTAGGAGGAACTGGTGGAGGTATCTTTTTAGTTTGCTGGACTATTTGTGATTGGAAATCGGCTTTTTGTTTTTCTAATAAAGACTGGTATTCAGTTTTTTGCTGTGCTAGTGCATTCTGGATTGCTTTTTGCATATCTTCTAAAGATATTCCATGCTGTTGTGACTTGTGAGGTTGAAACAGGTGAAAGTTCATATATTTGCCAAGATGCTCGATTAGATACTAGTGGATCAGATGTTCTATCTCTTTTATGTCTAGCTATTCGGCGTAATTCTATCTCATAAAGCTTTTTAGCTAATTCATCTAATGGCAAATGTTCACCAATATCTTCAGCTTTTTCAAGCCATAAAAGTGGTAAAGCATCTAAGAACTTTCTACGTAATTCTTTAGGTCTATAGTTGGCTCGTCTATCTATTTGTAATATTTTTCTATATAATTCATCTATAGTCAATTAGTCATGTCTCCCTTTCTGATTGTTCCATACATCAAATCCTGAAGTTCCTCTTCTACTGTAGGGAAATAAGTTTTTAGCCACCATACGGCTTGACCAAATCGAATATCAGCTACTGTATTTCCAGCATTAGCATTTGGTGCATTTACAGAAGCATTAGTAGGACAGCCACCTGCTATATGCCAGTCTTCATTCCAAGCATCTTCTACAGCTCTTAACTTGACTATTGCATTTCCTGGTTGGCCAACAGCCTCATTTAATGCATTAGCTCCTATTTGTACTGCAGTTCGCCCATTTACTGCAACTAAGTTAACCTGCCCTGTATTATCGAGTAAGTTAGTTAGCTCCCAATTCTGCTTTGTAGTAATCTCATCATCGAACCATTCTAAAGTCCTTCCTCTCATACAGGCTCTTAAATGTCCTATTGCATTATCTCTTCCTGTTGGAGGACCTGCTGCATTATCATTTGAATTTATTCTTCGATTCTGCAAGTCTAGTCTAAGTTGTGCAAGAAAGTCTGGGATACTATCATCCCAGTCAAAATATGGATGAGGTATTCCTGCCATGTTTACTTGATTAGGTGGATTATTCTGAAGCGCCAAAATTTGTCCCTGTAAATTTAAATTATTCTGGCGCTCTGCTTGGATATTATTTTTCCATTTCTCATATCGTTCATAGAGCCTGTATCGATTAAATTCTAACAGACCTATATCCCCTCTACTTAGCTGTAAGTGGTGGACATTTCGCTGATACAAAAATTGTAAGGCAAATTTTTCTTGTACAAGCACACCTATACGGGCTTGTTTTCTTGCCATATTACCTATCATTCTATTTACCTGGTTTTGAGTATTAGTTTGATATTGATGGAGATCACCAATAACATTAGTTATCCTACCTTCAGCAAGTTGCCTTCGTATAATTTCATTATCACGATCAGCTTCTGCATCATAAAGCCTTCGTTGCTCACAGACTAAATCCTGATGCAAATTATTTTCTTTTCGGCGTATCTGCCTTGTAGCTCTTTTTATTTGGTCTATAAGAATATCTCTAGTTGTTGCTCTATTATCCATATAACCATCTATAGTATTTGCTAGCTCTGTGATTGTGGCTATATTATCATTAGAATTATACAAGTCTGGAGAATTCCCTCGTTCAGGCGAATTTTTTCGTGATGAGATGCTTCTGATTTGGCATCGCAATTTCTTAACTTGTTTCTCAGATTCTACTAACTGCTCTTCTAAACTAGAAATATATTTTCCCTTATCTCGCACATCATTCCTAACTTGATATAGCTGACTTTTTAGGGTAGAGATTTTAGATTTTAACTCTACTATCTCTTCTTTTGAAGCATTTTCAAGGCGCTTTATCTCCTTATTGAGATTTTGAATTTTATGCTCACATCAGGTATAATCCCGTTCCAGTTGATTAATTCATCTCTCATTCTGGCAATTAGTATCAACTTCTATTAGTGCTCTACATGAGCCGGCTTGAGCCGAGCCAAAGCATGGCTTGAGCTTGGCTCAGAAAACTGCGGCAAGTCAAGTCTGTAATGAGCCGAGCCACAAAAAATCTTGGCTCGAGTTGTTCAAGCTAAGCCGAGCTATGAAAAATCCTGGCTTGAGTCAAGCTGGACTCAAGCTAGCTCGAGCTGGCTTGAGTTTTATTTAAGTTTATATAGAGATCATTTCAGATAGTATCCATTGATAATTGCTATTCGCTAAACAACTAAAGAAAAAAATTAATTGGACGTTAAATTAACAATAATCATCCACTGTACTTATAATCATTATATCATTAAATAGTTTAAAATATCTAAATTATTTCATTGATTATTTTATTATATCGTTTATAAATATTTTATTTAATAAAATACATATATAAATTCTTCAAAATTGTTTAAAACAAGTTTCATAATGAAACTGACTCTATGTCAAACATTCCTAATCGATACTCTATAAACCTATAAAAACAAAAAATAAAAATGTAGATGTGTTCTTATTAAAAAATAAATACATGCAGTAAGTTTTGCAAAGATACTTACCGCTTTATGCTTTATAGAAACCCTTGTATTAACAAGTCGATAGGTTAAGTATACAAGACTACAAAAGAAAAAAAAAATCAGCGATAATAGTTAATATCTCGTAATATAAAAAAAAAACAATTTTGGAAGATACTATACCTTCGAAATGAGTTCAGTTTCACCCCAGTCTTTAAAATAGAAATCTCAGACCTACAAAAATGAAAAAAAAATAATGAACTGTTAGTATAGTTCGTTAAAAGATAAAAGTATAGAAATAAGAAATATTTACTGAGATTCCGTGTTCATAAAGAGAAAAATGAGCTGTCAGAAGCTGTACGTTAAAAGAAAAAAATTACCTATATCGTAAATGAGAAAAAAAGATTGATTATACGATAATCAATAATCAATCTAGAATGTCACATGATGAATCGATCTAATTCAAGCATTTAATTGGTACATCATACAGTTCATACACTGATGTACGTTAAATTTGACAAAGAAAAAAAGAAAAACGTTAAAAAAAATATTCTCTATTACTAAATATGTCGTTTTTATATTGTCAGGTGCTATTTTCTTGTGCCATATATTTGTTTAAATACAGGTGGTATAAAAAAATATACAATACGGAGTATAGGAAAGGCAAATTTACTTTTTTATTGCTTTATTCTTTCAAAATGTATTCATCTTCAAAAATCTCTCCTGCTATCGAAGTTGACGAAAATGAAAATAGCTCTTTATCATCTAATAAAAGATCGGAAGCTTATCAATATTTTACTTTTAAAACTCAAAGATGGTATTGTAATTACTGCTCAAAGAACTTTGGAGATAAATCAACTTCTACACTTTGGCGCCATATCGCAAAACATCCAAAAATTGTTGAAGCTCGGAGAGTACAAAAAGAACAAAAACAGAGAAAAGTTGGGAAAATGGATAAATATACAGTTACTGCAGAAAAAGAAAATGCAAGTATATTTTATTGATCAAGATTAAATTTAATATTAATATTATTATTGTACACTTTTTTAGTTTAGTCAAAAAGGTTTTAGAAAAAGAACAGTTCGTTGGGTCGTAATAAATGATCAGCCTTTTAACGTTATTGAAAATGAAGAATTTAAAGATATGATTTCATTTATTTGGCCTGGCATATACATTTCTTGTGCTAACACTTTACGACAAGATTTAACCGAAAATTTCAAAAATGCAAAAGAAAGATTTCGACAAGAACTACAGGTAATAAAATAATCTTATTACATTTAAAATTTCAATACTTGTTTTTATTTAAATCAATAAAACTATCAAATAGGAAACACCTGGTCATCTCTCCTTTATCGTTGATGCATGGACAAGTAAAAATCAAATCCCTTTTCTCGGTATTAGTGTACATTGGATAAATGAAAATTGGGAATTGAAATGTACTACGTTAGACTTTTGTATACTGTCAGGTCCTCATACGGGAATAAACTTGTCAAGTAAATTTTTAGAATCACTAGAAGACTTTGGAATAGCAACTAAGGTAAACTTATCTTTACTATGATTTCTTTTTTTATGATTAACCAACTAATGGATTTGTTCTGTTTGTAGATTTTAGCAGTTGCATGTAGGGTTGGTAAAATAACCGTTAGTTATGAATTTGGTTAATTAACCGGTTAATTAACGGTTAGTTAACGGTTAATTAACCCATAAATAACCTGTATATATAATTTTAAGGAAGTTAAAATAAATTTATAATTTATTAAATATTATAAAATTTTAATATATTTTATTTATTCTTCATCATCTAAATTAATAACATTTGCTTCAAATCCAAATATACTATCATTATCAGAACTATTATTATTATCATCTTCTTTATTTTCATTATCAGAACTATTATTACTATCTTCTTCATTTTCATTAAAATTACTACCCATTTAGCTGTATGAGATTCTTCACCAGAATAAATAGCATCAAAGAATAATGGTTTTGGAGTACAAATAACAAAATTTTGAACTGATTCTCGATTAATATTAGACCAACCATCTGAAACCATTGTAAGAGATTTAGCTTGTAAAATTTGTTCATTACATTCAGCTTTAACTTCATCAAAAACATCATCAAGTAATTCATCAGCAAGTTTTCTTCGATTAGGTAATTTGAATGCTGGACGTAATTGTTGAAAAAACTGAATAACATAATTATTTTCAAGAAAAGAAAAAGGAACTCCAGCAGCAAATAATGCTTGAGCTAGTAAAATTTCAAGAGTATCTTGTTCTTCTTCACTCATACGATCAACAAAATTCTCAATTGTTGTATTTTTTAAATGCTTTTTTGATGTTTTTACTGTAGGAATAAAAGTAGAAGTAGTAGCATCAGAAGTTTCTAATAGTTCAGGAATTTGTTGTTTCTTTGTTTTTGCACTTTCTGGAGCTCTAGGACAACTATCATTAAGATGAACTTGCATTCTTTTAGCTGTACCTTGTTCAAAAACTTTAGAACAATAATTACAACGTACAGAAGGATGTGTTTTTTTCTTAGACCTACTACTTTCTTCATTACTTTCTGCTTCAGTAATTATTGTCCAATGTTTCCAAACAGTTCCCTTTTTTTTTACCATGATAATGAACAATAAATTTGCAAAAAAAAAGTGTTTTTTTAAAAAAAATTTATCTTAAAAAAAAGATCATGCAATATGTAGATCATAGATTTAATCAATATTTATATTAATTAATATTTAATTGTGTAACAAAATAATGGATTATCATTTAATCACATGATTTAAATTCTGCATTTTGATTGGCTAATTATAAATAACGGTTAATTAACCATTTTAAATCAATCATAACTAACAAAATTAACGGTTAATTAACCATGGTTAATTAACCGTGGTTAATTAACCCCCATCCCTA